CTAGCATCGCTACTAGGAGCAAGAAGCTACTATTGTTGGGGGTCGAAGAATCCAAGAATCCCCCGTCAGCAACATGATGCCACGGAATCATTTGCTGCTCTGGCTCTGACACTCAAAAGCAACAGCCTCGACCGCTTCAGGCAAGCTGAACTCCAGTAAGTGGATCTGCTTAGGCCCCGTCTTGACCCACAGGTGCAAACGGGTTCGGTGACGTATGCCTAGGAAAACCGGCAATTGTTCATTGATCAAGCCCCACGTAGTCGGATAATTTCATGTTGTATATTGTATATAACTACGTCACTATGTCATATTGCTTAAAATCGAACGTTATTCTAAATATATTTGAGAAGTGGTTCTGATGGGAACTACTTTCACAGCTTCCTTTCGCAACAGTTTCGCCGCTTGCGTTTAAGCTTTCGGTGCATCCTGTGCGAAGCCAGTTTTGCAAGGAAAAGCGGACAAAGTTGTTTTTACTTTCACAAGCTTTTGCGCAATAAATATTTACACGACCGTGTGTTTACCTTTTGCAAAGGCATCTTACATCAATTTCTTTTCAAATTGTTAGGATGGTGTTGGGCGCTGCACATATATTGCTCTTTACAAATCCTTGTGTCATAAATGGTCACTGAGGCTCCCAGCCACAGGCAGGCTGTAAGCAACACGAGCCATTGGCCCATTGCTGCGGAGCTGAGCTTCTTCGAGGTCAACCCAGCGGTGTCTCTGTCACTGTCTCTGTCACTCCGTGACAGCGTACTTTGGCAAATACAGGTATTAGATCGTCTTGGACTCAATAACAATAGTAGTAATAGTAGTAACAATTATAATAAAAAGTACAAACTTTTGCATGGCGGGTCTTTCCATGGTTATATTCTAAATATTAACCGTGAGCGTGCCTAGCGACCCTTGACGAAAGAAACGCAGCGCTGAGATGCGCTGAGGAACTTGGCTGATCTGCAAATTGTCTGAATCTGCATGTCAAACATGTTGTCTCAATGACGTTTGTCTCATGTTGCTCCTAATTGTCCAAAGCATCTCCCCACTCATCTCTGTATCTGCAACTGCCAGGGTTTGTTGCAGTCCAAGGGAGACGTTCCACGGCGGCCGACGTGCGGAACGAAGGAATAAGAATGTCCTGCCTCGGCCCCACCAGGGGCCCGAGGCCAAGGAAGGGAGCAGATATCAACTGTGACGGAAACATCATGAAAAGTCCTTCTTCATGAAAGTAATAGCAATGACAGCCATCCAGCGCATCCTTTTTGCGGTCGCTGCTTTAAAGCAATACACCGCATGCTGTGGCTGGCGCCAGGACCAAAGGGAGTGAATCATCACCTGGACTTGAAACGAGGTGATTCCAAAATGTTCTAAATTAGCCCTGTTTATTACGACATCGCAACATAATGTTCAATATGCCTCTTTATGAACAAATCCGTCAAACAACCCTCTGTTGTGGCCTTCACATCTGATACATTCTCAACCACGACATGTCTTCCTAAAACGTCAATTTGGGCGACAGCCGTTCAAAAGATTCCAGTGAGTTTTGGATGCTTGGTCGGTTTGACCCCTCTTTTGGCCTCAGCCAACCTGGCTCGGAAGCAGGGACCTGTCAAATCCAGAGGCGCTGATTCATGTTTGATATAAACTGATTATATTCAACTGTGTTGTTGGCCGTATCTAAGATATGGTCAAGATAGAGGAGTATTTCCCTGCGTGTGGGTGTGGTGTGGGTGGGTTGGGTGTGTATGTGCATGTGTGTGTCCACACCTGTACCAAAGGACGCCAACCAGTGCACGCTAACTCATTTTAACTCACCAGGCAGGGGGCACCTGAAGCAGAGATAGGGCAGGTGCCAACGAAGACACCTATCTCTTGCTTGTGATGTCGACGGGAGACGTCCTGTCGACGTACCTGCATTTGTAAAGGGCTACTGAGCGATGTTAAACAATTCTGGTTTCCGGACTCTTTCGCCTTTCCGTTCCCTCAGCCAAGGTCTAATTGAGTGTAAAGTGGAACTTCGTCAACTGATTTAGCTCTTGCGAGCATCAATCTAAGTGCGTTTCGCCACAGAGTCCCACTGCACGCTGTGGTGTGATCTTCAGCGAGGGGCGCAGCATATGCACATACCCTTAAGGGTGACTCCCCCTGATCCTTCCGATTGCACGTGATCTTGGTCGTGGACTTCATTGGACTCACTGTTTTGCATGAAAATGCCGATCCTATGCCGCAGGGCTTACTGAGATCAAAGTTCAGAGAATGTTATGACACGCCGCTAAGTATTCACATGCCATGCTGCTAAGTACTCATAGGCCATAGGACTTTTCGGTTCTTTCTCTCCTGCTGTTGCTCTTCACTTTCTAGGTCTTCTTTCGCTTTCTAGATGCTTTTTAGGTGTAATTCAGGCCTTTTAGTCAAGGGAGTGCCGGTTACGGCTTTTCGTCAGCGCCTCCGGGCAAGGACACCCCACACCCCACCCTACACCCCTCCGTTCGTTCCTTGCCTTTTTTCGTTTGCTTGGGCTTTCCTTCACGCTTGTTACGTCGGCGCTTAGGCTCGTTTAGTCAGTGCACGCCCTGCCCACACCCCCGCACCCCTTGCACCTTTCCTTTCTTTCCTTGCCTTTTTCGTTTGCCTTGTTCTTTCTTTCAGGCTTGTTAGGTTGGCATCCAGGCTCGTTTAGTCAATGCACTCCCACACCCTCTTCCCCCCCCACCCGCAGACAAAAAGAGCGAGCGCCGAATTATGGCTCCGTGTGTGTCTGTGTCCACACCTGTACCAAAGCACAGGCAGGGGGCACCTGAAGCAGAGATAGGGCAGGTGCCAACGAAGACACCTATCTCTTGCTTGTGATATTGACCGTAGACGTCCTGTCAACGTACCTGCATTTGTAAAGGGCTACTGAGCGATGTTAAACAATTCTGGTTTCCGGACTCTTTCGCCTTTCCGTTCCCTCAGCCAAGGTCTAATTGAGTGTAAAGTGGAACTTCGTCAACTGATTTAGCTCTTGCGAGCATCAATCTAAGTGTGTGTGTCCTGGCATTTGACCTGACGGACTGGGTGATGAAAGAAAATAGAAATTGCCACTCAGGAAGAGACACGCCACTGTGTGAGTCGTTACATTGAGGATGTGTGAACTGGTGGAAAACAAAAGAACACACAAAAGCTTAATGACGAGAAGAATCAAGAATGCAAAAATTTATGAGCCTTGTTTGGGAGGCCCCGTCACAAGCGTCTACAACAAATCAATGCACCTCTCACTAGCTCCCTCGCAGATCCTGAGATGTGGGCATACATGAAGCCAAAAGAATCGGCAGATTTTGCTGATACAACTTAATAGCAATGGCCTCCAATCTAGAAGCGATGGCCTCCAACCTACTAGCGATGGCCTCCAGGTCAGTTCGTTTGACTCATTGCCGCATAAACATTCACTCACGAGTGTTCCTGGCAGGAAAAACACTGTACAATCTCTGTCACTCCATCTTCACTCTTCAGTCTCAAGCATTCAGCTCTATGATGATAGCCTCCAGTTCCATCTGATAGCGACGCACCTCACACCAAAATAGAAGCGACAGCTGCAGTGCAAATTCATGCTAAAGACTCACTGAAGACGTTGAAAAAAGGACAAGGCGTGTCTTTGAAGGATTTTTCGATGTATTATTGAACGCATAGTCATCCATAGTCCACAATAAGCTAGAGAAGCCATGAGGTGGTGCCGCTCCTCGCTGTCTCGCGCTTCCAAAGCTCTCCTGAGACTGAGAACCTGTCAGAGTCAAGAGCTTTGAACGCAGCAAACTTTGGGGTTTATACTTTGTTGGACTCAAGATCTGCATTTCTACAAGGTGTGATAGTGTTGGGCAGTGGAATTCCAAAAGTGCGCCACAAACAAAGTAAAGAACAAAATGTTGGAAAATGTGAGGAAACGGCAAGAGGCTGTTTAGAACACCCTTGACAAGTGAAACAAATACACGGCAGTACCAAGCAAGGGAGACATCATGAGACGCAAAGCCGACGCCCACGACCTGTGATCAAGCAAAGTAAGAAGGAAACCAGGACTCAGTAGGACGACAAAACCCGACAAATGAACATTAAGCCGTACGGATCAATCTCAAACACTAAGCACTGTGAAGATTCGTGATCGTTGAGTACATGTCGACACCTTCTTGTGGATGAACGGCCAGTGCCCATGCAGTTTGGTTCGGAGACACTGGGAAACAGCCCGGATTCCATCTGACATGTACTTGTCTTGGTGTCAAAGCACGCTCGCGCATCCGGGGAGCCCTTTTAGTTTCGTTGCTACAAATGATAAGATGTTGCAAATGCAAAGGTTGAGCCTCACCTGAGCATGTTGGCACTCAAAATATATAATGAAAAATCATGACCCCTGCCTTAAGTAGGGCCCTGGGTGGGGGGCCCTCAATTAATAGAATAAGTTAATTGAGGGGATACATACCTGATTTTTTGAAATTAATTGAAGGGTGTCTTTTACCTCAGTTAATTGTGTATAGCTTGGGCCCCCCCCCACACCCCCAAACTCATCGACACCTCACAAACCCCTCAATTAATTTCCACTCCCCAGGTGGCAAACCCCCCATCCACAGCCACGCCAACGGCACGCAAACCAAGCAGGAAAGCAACCATCACACTCAAAACCAAGCAACAAAAATTAATTCGGGGGGTTGGCCTCTGGAGGAGGGGTCGAATAAATTAGTATACTAGCTTGATCCAAGGTAATTACACTGGGAACATGAAACTCGCATCGACATCCTTAGTTACTTTGGTTCCTCTCTCTGTCTCTCTCTCGCTCTCTCTCTCTCTCTCCGTAATAATCAATTGAGGGGTGTGTGACCTCTCCACCACCTCTTAGTTATTTTCTCAAGTAAATATGACCCTAGCTTGATCCAAAGTACACCGGGAGGATGCAATTTCTTTTTTTGTCCGACTTAGGTGTTTACCAAAATGGTCGACAAATTGTCAGAGAACAAAAAAGATTGAGAACATGTAATTCGTAGGTGACCCCCCCCTTCCAAATAAATATTTAGTGGAGGAGTCATGAGAAATCAGGCCACATTCCACGGATTTTCCCAGCTTGAGGAAATGAGATCCGCACCTTTTCACACTTGTGCAACAAATGCCTACGGTGTTCGCACCGCAGTGATCCGTGGGATGAAAGACTCCCCCTTTTCGCTCACGCGAAAACTGTGATCATTTTGATCAGGGGCTCAAGGCATTTGCAAACTTGTAGGGCCTTTTGAGCACTTGGTTTTGTAGTACTCTGCCCTCATCCGATCCATGGTCCATCCTTTGGATGCATTTTCCTTTTGAAATCTGTTCCATGGATTTGTCGGAATCTTTTCAGCCGGCTGGCTGTCGTGTGAAGCAGAACTCTCCACCGCTCCTTTCAGCAGCTTCGAGGCTTTCTCTACGCTCTCAGCCGCGCGATCCGCTGCATCAGCCGCCCTCAAGGCGTTTCGAGCGGCCTTCTCTGCTTCTCCTACTGCTTCTGTCACGGCCTGGATGGCCGAGCTGCCGGAAGATGATGGTTGTTCTTCCTGCCTTTCACGAGCTTGAACTGCCCTTTGCCGTTGTCGCAAGGTCTCATGCGCTGTGAACGACCGATCAGCGCTGCCTTGCCATTTCATAGTCCTCACCATAGAGCTCTGCCGGGTCATAGTGCCTCCCCTTTGAGCTCCTTCTTGAGGCCTGGTTCTTTGGGCATCAACGCCCGTCATGTTTTCTTCTTCACAATCACCTTCCATCGTCACGGCATACTCCCTCTCCTCATAGTCCCGCGACCTTGTAGGTGTTCTTCGCACACTTGGTGGCTTCATACTCAATGGCGTAGAAACCATTTCATTCTCACTTTCTTCACCTTCTTCTGTGTGTTCTCCCGACTTGACACACAGCCGGCGAATGCAGCATCGAACCGCACCGCACATGGTCTTCATCACCCAAATCGCCCCGATGATCACCAGGACGATGCCGCACATCCATAAGGCATCCACTGAGGAAGATGCTTCTTGGGTGTTTTGAGTCGTTTCTCCCTGCGCTTCAGCCGCCTTGATCAGCAAGCCACCCACCACCAAGGCACGTAGAGCTCCTTGTTGGTCAGGTAGTTCATGAGGTTGTCCTCCCAAGGCAGCCTTGTTCATCTTGACCTCACCGGCCTTCAAGCCAAGATCTTCTAAGAAGCCTGCAAAGCTTTGACCGGCCAGGGGCTTTGTCATGCCATCTGCAACCAACTCCGTGCCACGTAGATGGTGGAGCTTCCAAGGTCCTCCGGGATATGAGCTCTGTCCATCCAAAGCTTCATGAAGAAGATGGGAGCGAACACGGAGGTGTCTGGTTCGCCATGATGACGTGCTGTTGCCATGGGCCAAACCAATCGCTGCGGCGTTGTCGCCATACAGAACTCGCTCCAGGGTGTTCTTGGCATTCAGCTCCTCCCCCCCACATAGCACACCAGAGCGCTTCTGTTGCCCTGCCAGCTGTGAGCGCCTCGCAGTAGGACACTAGCTCCGATTCTGCAGTGCTGTGGGTGACAAAGGGTTGAGTAGAGCTTTGCCATGCAACTGGAGCTCCTGCTAGGCTCACAACCAAGCCCTGAACACTGCGATGCCCAGTGCCCGACCCATATGCAATGTCTGCAAACACTTCCAGCAGCTTCTCATGACGCGCCACCTTCAGTTGTCCACGAGCGCCCCACTTTTGCTTCACCCAGCGGGCATAGTGAAGATCTCCTGGATTGCCTTTGATGTAGGCGAGCAACACATGGGCCACCTCTATGGCTTTCACGGGATTGCGAGTCACCAGCCGGCTAACAGCCGCCACTCCATATGACAGGTCTGGACGCGACCGAGTTGAAAGCCAAAGGAGAGATCCAGCCAGCGCTTGAGCTGCACGAACTTTGTTTATGTCCACCTCCGGCTGTTGTTCACAATCGGCCTCTCCAAGCTTGAAATGCGGGAAGGACACGGATGAACTCACCTTCCAGCGGGCCAAAAGCTCTTGCTCATACTTCTGTTGCGAGATGTGATAGCCATCACCCTCCTCATCCATCGTGACTTCAAACCCACAGAGGTGCACTGGCGTGGTAGGTGACGCCCATTCAACACTGGAAGTTGCCCAGGTGGACTGCAAAGTTGTTAGGGCTGCTGCAATGGCTTCCTCCTCCCCTGACATCAAAATGTCATCAACGTAGACGGACATGAGGCCAGACCAGATTTCCTCCCCCGAGATCACGTCCGTTTCCTCTAGCCGCCATAGGTTGTCATCGGCCGTCTTGACAAAATAACCTCGGACATTGCGATCTCCTCGAACTCGAACCCAGCTCAGCGATGGCAATGTCAGATCGCGGTGCTTCGACCAATCCCGTGGAGAAGTCGTCAAGCCGTACATGGCCAACTTCACCAACCAAACTTCTCCTTCCTTGGCCAGGCCAAGTCTTTTGTAGACATTCGGAATCTCCATCGCAACAAGTTTGCCATCATCACGACGGGGTGCATTGAGAAATGCCACACGAATGTCCGTGGCTGCCAGGCTCCACCCTTTCAATGCCGACGTTCTTAGCAAGGCTCTCACTTGGCATCCATCGGCACCTCCTGCATAGCAATCGCTGCTGAAACGGGTGTCCGAGTAATTGCCGCACACCACAGCTCTTGCCCGTCGTTGGCCTGTTCCGGCCTTGCGAGTGTAGACCATTTTTGCTGGCAAAAGTTCAATGGTCTTCTGCTGCTTTTCGGCTCGATGGCGAAGCTCCCTTTTGGAAATTTGTTCAACCGCCTCCTTGGTCTTGACCAGTTGGCTATACTCGGCCGTAATGGATGGTACCCAGTTTTCAAAGTCATCCATGACCTCCTTATTGCCCACGGTTCAAGTGACCAAGAATTCTTCTTCCAACTCCTTCTGGTCCATCTCCAAGCCTTCTTGATCCGCTTTCAGCAAAATCTCCTCGGCTTCCACCTTGTGCATGATGGCTTCAGTGAGCACTCCCATATAGCACCCTTGCTCATGGCTGGTCACATCAACATGCTGCATCTCTTCGCCAACATACTCCGCCAGGTTCGCCTGGATCTTGCGAACAAAACCGACCTTCGTGAGAGGGGCATTCCCAAGTGCCACTTGCTTCAACGAGGCCACCAGGCGTGAGCCACCATCCTGGTTGTTAGGCGCCTCCGCCCACTCCCCACCTCCAGTTGAGTCCTCCTCCATCGAATGCGATGTACTCTGGGAAGCCCTCTCACTTGATGACGATCGGTCTGGCGTCTCGATGGTCCAGCTATCGCTGCTCACCTCACCTTCCAGCCTCAAGGCATCTTGTTGTGGTGAAGGATGATCAAACTGATCGCGATGCAGACAAAGCCACTTTTGGACCCACTCCTCCCCCTCCATGTGCAACATGGAAAGCTGCGGAATTGCTGTCTTTTCTCGAAGCCTGCGACGTGGAACACCACCCTCCCAAAAACCTCGAACCGGCGAATCGGGCAACTCAGGCAAGTGGACCAAGGCTTCTGCGGACTCAGGTTGGTCAGCATTGGGAACCACCACATCATCAGTATAAAAATACCTTTGTGTCTCAACCGACTGGACATAGTAGCTTGTGGTGGTCAAAGAGGATTGAATTGCGGGGCCCAAAACAAGAACTTCATCCCTGATCTCACGCCAGGGCTGATACCTATCTTGCCAGGATTTCTTCAATGCGAAGGCGCGAGCTCCAAAGTGCAAGAGCGGGCCCACTGGACAACCAAGGCTCCTCAACTGACC